CATTAAAAAAATCAGCTGATAATTAGAACGTCGCGTTGGCGGAGGTATCAGAGGTTCACTTTGGCAATTCATGTCGAGAGACGTGGTTGTAGAAGTCCTTCAACCTGATGATGAGCTAAAAGGCTCGAAATCCGGATCGTTGCAAAAACAACTTACTGTGAGTAGGAACTATCCTTTTAAAAAGTATTGAACACCACACTCACTCCATCATTTATCATTTCTATTAATGTAGATTCTGTCTTGAGGTTTAAAACCCCGAGGTTTTCAATTTCCTTCTTTACGAAAGCGTTTCCTTCTATAAGAAAGAAGTTATATCGCTTGAGAGCGCAGCAGTAGCATGTTCATTGGCAAGGGGTGCCAAATATAATTCAAATAATTCAGCTACTACTTTTATCGCTGCTGCAAACTGAGTACGAATGAAATTGTTCAATTTGTCCATAGTTCCTTTTTCAATTAGAGTTGCTGGGAGAAAAAAAACTCATCTTGAAGTTGGATGAATTAGATTCAGAATAACTATAGAGCTGCATTATTTTCACTCCAAAATATAAAATAAGCACATTATATCATGGTTGACTAATAAAGAAGCGGCAATAAAGACGTTGCGATCATTGTAGTACAATAAAAATTTAATTGATATACATTAATTATTTGGAGATCGTGAGATGCGGTATGGTGTGATGTAGGTTTTAGAAAAACATTTTCTTTATCGTGCCAACGTTTCGATCTTTATAGAGATCATCTTCAGGGTCTTGTGTTGTCAGCATTTCAACAAAAAAGTTCTCTGATTGATAGCCGATGCAAATTTCTTCTCATTGTTGGCGATGTCCTTCAGGATACTCTTTGCTTGGTGTCCATTGTAGTTGAAATCTGCTCATAGAATTCCATGTTCTTCGTTCACCATACACTTCACACAGGATATACATTAAATTATTCTTTTCACTTCATATCATTATTCTTTGTTTAGAAATCGATCAGATTTTGAGTTATTTGGTAATGGAATCGAATCTAAGAGTCGCCTTGTTTTCCGGTTTGAACACGACGACTGCGAACCAGATGAAGAAAATGCGACCGACTCCTCCTTTCAACGTTATCGTCGGCGAGACGAAATTCATCAAAGCTTCGCTGGAAAAGGTGGACAAGACAGTTTCCCTCGAAAATCAAACAATATTGATTCTTAAGTCGAATGTTTCAGGCGCATAAATTCCAACTGGTCAGACGTGACAACACTTGGATACTGGTATTCACTGATTTCAAATATGGAGAAATGGAACGAGACTTTTACGAGAAAGATACGGACGTCTTGACTTGGAACCCTACTGCCTGCTGTACTGGATCGGAAAAAAATTGTGAATGCCCGTTGGAAATGGATGTAAGAAATATTATACAAACTAATGTTTCGTGAGATAGGTTAATGTTAAGGTAAAATAAGAGACGAACGCTTTTTACGACCTTGCGCACCGCGACCAATATTGGTCTATCGTACATCCTTTATTATATCCATTATATTTAGTGGTCCATTGACCAAATTACTTCTTTCAATTATTTAATCTTTTTATGTAAGGTTTTTGGTTGAAATGAAAAGCTAGTGCCACGAGCGGGATTCGAACCCACGACCTTCGGCTAAATACGCCGCTGCTCTACCACTTGAGCTATCGTGACTTCGATCCACTCGGACACCAACTTCTCATCTCAATCTACAACCTTTCAACCTTTCCAATTTTCCCTCTATTTTATCCTTTAATATCTAAAACACAACCCCCACTATAACACGTAATTTACAATAAAAAATAAGTAAAAAATTACAATTTTTTAAAAACAATTTTGTAAACCAATTAGCGTGAATTCTACAAATTAAATATAATAAATTCGTTCACAGAATGGGGAAAAAAATGGGAATAGTATAGAAAATTGCAGTACAAATTTGAATCATTGTAGTACGCCACGTGGTGGAGGATAAACGTACTTGAGAGGGTACATTTAGCTTAAAGCTTTTTATCAAATCTCAAAAGTAGGAATCAGCCTGTATAGTTTTTGCACAAACAGAGGATCCACTGTTTTTTCTTCTTTTTGGCAATATCTGCAATGGCTTTTTCTGCCTCTTTGAGTCTATGCACATCTCTCTGGGGTCTGCAGTGTGTAGTCAGCAGTCCTTCTATTACGATAGTCCTAACATGGCTTAGAAGTTCTGCCATTAGTTTCTGTGATGAACGTTTTCACTATGTCCTGGAATATAAACCCATTGAACCAAGTGCTTATTCTTAATCCATTTTATTGTGAATCAACATTTTTGCCAATTTGTATTGCTCCTCACTTCAACAAATTGTTGCACGACCAATCACTAAAAACCACATGTTATTTTTAATGTTGATCTTTTTGATAGCAATTCTTATGACCTAGTTCAAGTACAAGTTGCAATGTCTTGAGAGAAACAGTTTGTATTTTTTTATGTCAGCATTTCAGTACATTAGAAGATGCCCTTATTTGAAAGTTTTAAGATATTTTAATTAATTATACATTTTATCTAACGTCTTGGTTGAGATGAAACAGTTGATATCATGTGCAGGATTCAAACCCACTACTTTTGGCTGAATACGCCACTACTCTAACCAATTGAGCTATCATGTCTTTGATCCACACGGACACCAATTCTCCATCTCAACCTACAACCTTATGAATTTTCCCTCTTTTGGCATATTTTCACATATGGTATAATCATTTAATTCTCAGCGACTGATGACGTAGCGACAGGAAACTGTTAGCAAAGTAATTACTTCTGTAATTATTAGATTAATCCATATACGTTTAGCAGTAATAATTGGCTATATTAATTATTTTAATTAATTATACATTTTATCTAAGGTTTTCAAAAGGTAGGTTCAAATCCCGCTCGTGACACAGACGTTTTTATTTCACCCAAGACCTTAGATAAAAAATATAATTAATTAAAATAATTTTATGGTCAATTATGACTGCTAAACATTGAGGTTTAACATACTTTCTTTGAACTACTACTACTACTACTATTTTGTTTAACTTATAAAGAATTCAAATTTAAGTGATGATATAAGTTTCCATTTTCTTTATCAAAGAAAGAAAATTAAAAATGTATGATTTATTTTCATTGACGAATTTGATATTATTTTGTTTCTTAAAAATTTAAAAAGGAATCCTTCCTTAGTTATTTATAAATCATTTTCATCACCATAAAAAAATGCATTTGTAAGAATACCGGGTTGGAAAGCCTTGACATTTGCGGCCACTGACAACCCTTATAATTTGTGACTTAAATTCACTTTACTTACTTTTTCTAATCTTCTTTCATTTAAATGAAATTATTTATAATTAAGTTCGCTTATTAGTCAGGTTTGAAAAATTTTATTTAACTTTTTTTTATGCAACTTTTTTTTATATATATACTCAAAGACACACTCAAACCATCATAATTAAATTTTTTTAAATTAAAACATAAATTTCTGTTAATAAAATAAACCTTTAAGTAAGTAAGTTTAAAGTAAACTTAAAAACTTAATTAAAGTAAGTAAGTTGTAATTAACACAATAATAAAATTACAACTAGTTTTGAAATAAACAACAAAATACATTCGATGTCTGGTTTTTTTATTTTTGGGTGTATATTAAAAGGCAAATATGAAAATGAAAGTAATTAAGTTTTACACAATGTTATTCACATTTTTATTTGGTTTAATTTAGTTTTCAGATGAGTTTCTAGGGCAAGTTAAGATTGCATTGGAAACAGCAGTGTCAAAATCGCTAAGCCAAGGTGTGCTTGAGAGGGCAATTTCGATAAATTGTGATGCAAGTAATGACAATATTAACAGCACTTCTGTTTTTTCTAACCAGTTGCTCAAAGTAACTTAAATAATTATTATTTCTATAGTTCATAATTTACTATGCATCTACAAATAAATTTACTGTTTTTTAAGGCAGCGCATGAGCACTGGGCTCTTTTTTACGACGCTGAAAATAGCATATTAACACCAAACCTCAATTTGAATTTCCAAACTGAATCTAAAAAAGGAAATTTAAACCTTGCCTCCTGGTCTAGATCAACTGGGCTGATCAAAGAGAAACATATCAAACCTGTTAAACGATTTTTCAGGATCGGCACTGGATATGTAAATTTAAAATAAACCAGGTTAACTTTTCAATATCATTAAATATATTCTGGTATTTCAGAGCATCCCATTTGCTTATCCAGCTTTTAACGACAAGAATGAAAAAATAATAGGTCCAGACGGAAATCAAGTTTGGGAAGGGTACTGCATCGATTTGATCGAAAGGCTGGCTAAAGATATGAATTTTGATTTTGAGTTAGTCACCAGTTACGATTTTGGAGAAAAGAAAATGGACGGCTCTTGGACAGGCTTGATTGGCGAACTGCAAAGAGGAGTAATTATTGGAATTATAAAGCATTACTGTAGAAGTCATTATAAATCTTTATAAACCAGTTATTTTATTTTATTTTCACTAGCAAATAGATATAATTGTTGGAACTATTATCATGACCTCAGAAAGGGAAGAAGTCATTGACTTCGTAGCACCATATTTTGAACAAACTGGCCTTTCAATAAGTGCGTAAAAAATTTCTTCATTTTTATTTTATTTTGAAAATTTTGTTTGTAAATAGTGATTAGAAAGCCATTGAGAAAAACATCGCTTTTTAAATTCATGACTGTTCTGAGGGTTGAGGTTTGGTTTAGCATACTGGGAGCCCTTTGTCTGACTGCTGTAATGATATGGTTCCTTGATAAATACTCGCCATATAGTGCACGCAACAATAAGGAAAAATATCCATACCCATGTCGGTACGTTTTCAACGATACTTCCATATGTGTATTAATTGTTTCAATTGTACTTATTAACTGATAGCATCTCTTAGAATTTTTTCGTTGAGGGAGAGCTTCTGGTTTGCCATAACTTCATTCACCCCCCAGGGTGGCGGAGAGGCACCGAAAGCATTATCAGCCAGGACTTTAGTCGCCGCCTATTGGCTCTTTGTTGTTCTCATGCTGGCAACATTCACTGCCAATTTGGCCGCATTTTTAACAGTAGAAAGAATGCAAGTATGAAATATTTAATTAATGTTAAGTCTTTATATCAAACCAAATTGCATATTTTTACAACAAAATTTAACATGGATTTAACAGAATATTATTGATTATTCAGCACACTTTCCATTATAATTTTTTAAGCTTGAATTTAAATAATAAATTGTATATTATCAATATACACAAATCAATAATAATCAAAACCTTGTAAAATTAGCACAACAATTTTAATTATTTCAACCATTAATTTAATTGCTATAGGTTAAATCTAATTGCATTAAATTTGAAATACTCTGAATAGTCTTCAAGTTAATGAAATGGAAACAATTTAAACATCATTGATCAACCCGATTATGTTCATTTGCCAAAACTTACTTTTTATCCTTATTAAATAATCAATTATTATAAAATTAATATTAAAAAAATCAAACTTCACCTGAAAGAAATATACTGTAAAATCTAATTAATTCAGAGAGATTATAAACTTCTAACAAAACATTATGAACTTATTGCATTCAGTCTTCATTAGATATTAATTATAATCAAATAACAGATTGTAAAAGTACAATTTCACTTCAAATTTTAACTTTGATTTTTTTAAATTATATACTATATTGTAAATTTATATAAACACAACCCTTATTTAACTCCTTGTGTGTTGTGTTAAAAACATATTACATTTTTAAATTATGATTTTTTTTTTCAGTCACCAGTACAATCTTTGAAGCAGTTATCAAAGCAGTCAAGAATTAATTATACTGTTGTGACAGACTCAGAAGCACACGCATATTTCAGGAATATGAAAAATGCTGAGGAAACACTTTACAAGTGAGGTTTATTTTGAAAAACTGATAATTATACTTAAATATTACAACTTACATATTAGTAAAAATGGTTAATCTTTTACATGAATTATAGAGTTGTTCTCTTCTATGGCACATTCTCTTCAGAATGCCTGAGCCCAAAACTTAAGGATAATAACAGACAGCATTTGGCTTCTTTTTTCTTATTTTCCCGTCCAGGCCTCACAATCACAAAATATATGTGCAGATGTCTCTAGTTTTACCTGACAGAGTCATGAAGTTTCTGTCTCTGTTTTGCCCATCTTATTCAGTGGTAGTGGCCAGTATGGAGGCTTTTTCCTCAAATCCTGCCTGTTGATAGAGAAGACCTTTGCCTTTTTTAAAAGATTTATACATTTCTTAGCTTTCCCCATACCTTGTGCTTTTGTCCAGTACTTGAGTTTATCTTTCACAAACCTTTTTCCAACTACAATTTTTCCTCACTTTTGGATGCTTAGTTGTAGTTTCAGTCCTTTCTTAGTTGGTCAGCCTGTTTGTTTCATTTTATGCTTTCAAGTCCCACAATCCAGCTTGATGAAGCCTAATTGTGTTCTCCCAGGGCCATTACACAATTTAGGTATTCCTAGACTAATTTGGAGATAAAAGCATACAAATTTAGTGCCTTTGTAGCTGCCAGACGGTTCAAACGTATGTAAATCATGCACCTTACATTTCTTAACCTGTACACAGAGAGATTGCATGGAACTTTAGGAAAATAGTTTGAACCAGTCCAAGCATTTGGTCTTTATCTATCTGGTTGCATGTAGGTATGCTGGTTAGTTCTCAAAAGAAACTGCACTTTTACCAGACCAAGTGTCTTCCACCTATTTAGTTTTCTTCATGTCGCTGACTTTAGGTCAAAGCACCACACAACAAATGGGTACAAGGTTATTATGGAATAAAATGAATTTGGTTAAATCACTTCACAGCTGCTCATCTCTTTGATTGGAATCAATGAAACCCAGTACAGCATACCTTTAGTTTAATTAAGTATTCAACATCGGCCAAACTCCTGAGGTTAAATTACATAGGAGTGAATGAGCAATCACAGGGCTAGCCGATTCTGTTCTTAGGGACAACTGATGACAATAAGAAAGAAGCTTTGATAAAACAAGGCCTTTTGGCAGCCAAAATAAAACATTGCCCATTATAATATCTTAATGAATCTTTGATTCAAAACATTAGTAAAAGTCATCAATTTAAATTGTATTTTTTAGCACTGATTATCTCCCAATTAGTGTGATCATTTTTGTTTAATATGTTTTTTAGTGTTTGGAAAGAAATTACTCTCAACAGATCTGTGGACCAGTCTAAATATAGGGTGTGGGATTATCCGATAAAGGAACAGTACGGTCGTATTTTAATTGCAATTGAAAAGACAGGCACAGTGGCCTCAATGGAAGAAGGGTTTAACAAGGTATACATTTTGCTTTAATTATAAAGTTCTTTAATATAACCTGTCCGATGATTTTAAGGTCAAGGAAAATGAAAACGCCGAATTTGCCCTGATACACGATGCATTGCGAATTAAATATGAAGTATACTCTGATTGCAATTTGACTGAAATTGGAGAACCTTTTGCAGAGCAGCCTTATGCAATTGCTGTCCAACAAGGAAGTCATTTAAATGAAGAAATAAGCAGAAGGTACACTTTTGTAAATTATTAACAAGTTATTATACAAATCTTGTCATTTTAGGATAATAGATCTTCAACGAGACAGATACTTTGAGTCTTTGTCCGCTAAGTATTGGAATACTACAAAGAAAGGGAAGTGTGACAGTTCTGATGAGGATGAAGGCATCACATTAGAAAGTTTAGGTAATAATTGCTATTTATACGAATACATGTCACAGGTATTAAATGTTTTCTTGTGAAATGTGTAGTATTTACTGACCGTTAGTTGATGATTATTTGGAGATCATGAGATGCGGTCTTGTGTGATGTAGTTTCAGAAAAACATTTTCTTTATTGTGCCATTTTGATTATCTTCAGGGCTCAAAGTGTGGGTTTTCTGTGAAGATGTGTCACCGTTTTGTGTCGTGTTGCAAGTGTGTACACATCTAAACAGAAAACACACACTTTTGAGCCTGAAGATGTTCTAAATAAAGATCAAAACGTTGGCACAATAAAGACAATGTTTTTCTAACCTACATCACACAAAACCGCATCTCATGATGTCCAAATAATCCTTTTTCTTGTGATCTTCATACAAAAAGAAAATCTGTATTTATTTATAAACTATACAAATAATAAAAAACAAACGAACAATATAAGCCATTTTAAATTAATAATTTTATTTGTTTATCATTTAAATTTCGTTTGTCCATTTTGTTGAAGTTATCGTTTTTTTAAACAGGTGGAGTTTTCATTGCAACTCTTTTTGGACTTTTCTTGGCAATGTTAACCCTAGCTGCTGAAGTTTACTATCAGAAGAAGAAGACAAAAGGCAAAATTGCTGACAAGGGAGACTTTAAAAGGACGATGTTCCGTGATGAAAATTTCGCAAAGAAAGAGTTCAACAATACATTCAAAAAACGATCCAATCTAGTCAATTCCAAATCAAAAGTCAATTTCATAAAAGTCTATCCACGTGATCAATTATTTTGAAAATTACGCCCACATCACAGCACATGCCATATAAGTTAGAAATGTTAATAGTAGAAATAGAAGAACCAAAAAAAAAAAAAAAACACATTGTAAATGTATAAAATTAGATTTAATAATATAATAAATAATAGAGTTATTTTTGATGATTGTATGTTGGATGATACAATGTTGTATTATTGTAACATTAAAGATTATAATTCTTCTCCTAACTTTATTTTGCATGAATGCTTGTAAAAAAAAAAGTTGGGATAGGAAATATAAATAAATAATTGTAAATTAAAAGTAATTTTTATTGTTAAAATTGTTCTATGAAAAACTGAATATTTTTGTTCTGCTTAGCATTTCATAAACAGTAAGTATTAGATCAATATCTAAAGTTTCTAAACCGCTGAATGCTTCTGGAGAGCTCACACTGCTCAATAAAGAATAAAGATCTGGATAAAATGAGTTCTCTTGAATGCTTTTCTCTGAAAAAGAAGGGCTCACTTCGGAACAATCGACTATAGCCGTTTTACACAAAGTGGTCATCACCATTTTATAATTGTTCAAATTTTGTTTTGACAGCGCTTCTCTCATTTGGTAAACGAGCATGTTTTTATTTGAAGGCATGTTCCACCTCGACCATGTAAATTGGTAAACGTTGGAAAACATTGCCATGCACATGTAAACATGATCCTCGATGACTGGATTTTTTACTGCATGACCCTCGACGTATAAAAAAGTGTCATTTTCTGGAAATAAGTCTACGCCTGCATTTTTCATTATCGATATAATTTCCTGAGGGGAATAATACTCTCCTATAATTGATTCCAAAGCGGTGCCTGTCGCATTTTGCAAACATTGCAAGCATACTTGATTCTTTTGAATTAGAAACTCAAGTATAACAGTTGAGGCTGTCAAAGATAATAAAATGGTGGATTTTTCGTTCCAATCTGGCCTCAATTCCCAAGTTTGAAAAGGAAGATTGTTGAACCTAACAGCGGCAAGTCCAAGAGGATCTGGTCTCCCAATCTTACAAGATATGACTTGCTTTTCTTCATTAAATTTTATATCGTAAACATGTTGGTTGGACCATATTTTATTCTCTTTATCCCATAAGACAACAGTTGGAGCTTCAAACCATAAAACATGCTGTGGCAGAGTCACTTCAACTACTATGAGTTTGTCAATGTTATCATCTGGAGGTGGCTTGTCTTCTTCATTTTCTGAACTTTCCGTTATTTTTGGTGGTTCATAGACAAAACAAAATTGATCCCTTATTACGTTGTAATCTCCGTACTGAATTTGTACAACAGTGCCATTATTTAGTTTATACTCTTGAGGAACGTGTTTTAACAAGTCAAGGAAAAACACGCCACCTAAAATACAAAATTTGCGCAGATTCAACTCATGCTTTGTTACTTCAATTTTCACTGATTGTTTATAATTATTAAAATATTCTTCATTGATGTCATCAAGAATCTGGTTAATATCTTTTTCTTTATAATCAATTTTCTCTTCTAATGTGGTGTCCTGTTCATTGTCTGATTGAAACAAGTCGATGAATTTCAGATTTTTTGGCGCTGCGTTCTTCCTTTCTTCAATTGCAGCATTCAAATCAAAATCCAAAATCAGTTCCTTGAGTGATCTAACATCTTTCTTTTCAATCTGTTCGTAAGAGGTACTGGGGCAAAGAAGCGAGAGAAATTTGGTAAATTGTTTTTTCTTTAGCACACTTTTTCTCACTTCTTCCTTAGGTATATTGTCTTCCTTATCTGAACTGGAATCACTCGGATAATCATACAACTTAAGTTTTTCATCAAAGTTACAACTTGGAAGTGTTTTGGTTACAAAAAGTTCTGGTGTGGGACAACGTGAATCTACCTCTGGAATAAAATCAAATTCTTTAACACTTACATCTCTGTCATCCGACATATTATCAGAAACTGATATTTGACTTCCTTCTCCTGCATGAGACGGTGGTGGCGATTCAATTTTTAGCAATAGTTCTTGCTCTAGTTTTAACTTCATCTCCTTTTCTTTTTCTAACTTCTCTGCTTTCAGTTTTTGATAATTATCATACCATTTCGTGACCAGTTTCATTTGATTACAATTATCTGGAATTTGTGGATTGTCCCAAGACTTAGAATTGTCACTAAAATGATCGAACGTCGTATGAATCACTCGAATAATAACTAACTTTTTGTTGTAAGGAACCGGGAGGCAGACGCGAACTCCAGATTCCGCAAAATCGACAGAAGGAGGTGCACGTTTGTCCGAATCGCTAACGGGCTCGTCAAGCCAGCCCCACATATTTATTTTGATGTTAGGCGTCGCTTTTTTAAAATCTACACTCCAAAAATCGACACGATTTAAATTGGTCGTTATTTTCCTCATAAGTTTGAAACAACCAATGTCTATTTTATTTAAAAGTTCGGCACGGTAGCTATTTCTAATCTCCTTCCAATTATTAACTGTGTATAAAGTCGCATCAAGAGGCTCGTCAATTAACTTATCCAAAATATCAAGAATTTTTAAAACAGTTTCTGCCCTCTCCATGGCATTGTCAAGAACACTAGTTTCTTCTAGTGTTCTCCAAAGGTACAAATGAGTATGCATCACTGGGGCGCTTTCAGGATAAGGGAGCCGGTTGCAGTCCAGATATCTATCCCATTCTTCACAATTCCTCTGATTTATTTTGGTAACAAAGTGGTGCTTTTTTGCTTTTTTAAACATAGTGCATATAGGCGATAAAATATCTTCCCTGACTTTTTGTTCGAGCTGTTCACGCTTTTCTTTCATCTTGGCTTCAATCCTCTTTTTCTGAATTTCCCGCTGTTTCATTTCGGCCTCCCTTGCTTTTTCTGCAGCCTCTTCCTTTTTCAGCCTTTCAGCCATCAACTCCTCTTCCCGCTGTTGTTTTTTGGACTTTCTCTTTTTCTTAGGACCCATTTTTACCTGATTCAACTTTCCTTCGACTCCAGGAAAGATTGGAACTAAACAAACGTTACCTTAGCGATATCAATAAACATCGCATATGTAAACTATATCATTTAGGGGGAAAGGCATAAAAGACATCACCCCCCTTTTGGAACATCTTTTTCAACGATCTCCTTCAACAACTAGAAGAGACGGCATCAAGTTTGTAGCCTTTGTTGATGACCTGGTTATAATAATAGCAGGCAATACAAGGAAAGAGGTCTTAGAAAAAATAGAAAGAGTAGTCGCGTTTATAGTCAATTGGTGTCAAACAAAAACCCTAAATGTCAAATACTCATATGAAAAGGACAATGGACACCCCCCCCTTATAGTGAAAATAGTCGGTAAAAACATCAAACCAAGCCAAGAAGTCAAATACCTTGGCGTTGTTATAGGAGAGATTGAATTCTTTTCCACACGGTCTAAAAATCCGGGAATCCACACGCTGTACCTTTGCAAAATTAAGCAGGATAGCTAAATCAACATGAGGTCTCAGCTCAAAGGCAATGTCAACAATCTACAAGAGCGTCTATATCCCTATAGCAACTTATGGAGCAGCAGGCTTGGTAAAACCAAACAGGTAATAGAACAAACCCAGCAAATTGCTTTACTGACATTGAAGGGGTACAGAATGGCTTCCACTCATGTTCTCAAAGTGTTAATGATAGCAACACCCATTGACTTGGTCATAAAAGTCCATATTGCAAAGGGAGAGCTGATGAAGGGATTGCTACCAGGTCTACCCGGCTTAGAGGAGCATGAAGCGAATTGGCTAAGAAACGCACCCAACACCCAGTGCCAAACTTTTCTCAACAAATGGGCAACCGACACCTGGCAAAGCAGATGGGAACATAATGTCAAGGGCAGGCTTACTTATGAGTTCTTTCCCATCATTAAAAAAAGAAAAACGCAGAGTTGGGTGCAACCAGATTTTTGGTCCACACAAATGCTTATGGGGCATGGAAACTTTGCAGTTTATCTGCACGAATTCAAGAGAGCTAATACCCCAAACTCAGTTATGCAATGTTCCTGAAGACATATGACACAAGCTGTTCTGCCCAAGCATTGTACAACTTCGTCAAGACCAGCGAAACAGTTTTCACAATATATGGCCTCCTGAATTGAAGGAACTTGTGAAAAGCGAACAAACGTATCATGTGTTCAAACAGCTTACACAGAGCATCCTAGCGGGTAGTAAACCAAGTACCTGAAAAAACTTTCTAAACCATGCCTGTGATTAAACTGTGATATATTTAAGTGTATAACTTTAGTTCATATAATTCCGGGCTTGTTACTTCTTTAAAAATAAGTTAACATTGTTATATAGTACCTAAGACTGTGATTGTTCTTTATTGCTTAAATTATTATATTTATATAATTTTGTAGTTTTATATAATTTTTATAATTTTAATTTTGTAATTTTATGTAATGATTGTATAATATTACTTTACGAAAAGGAGTAACCAGCAAGAGGGAGACCTATTAGATTAGGTCAGTTTTAGTAATACAAAGAGGAAAAATATATATCCCCTAACCTTCCTCATGCCCCTCGTTTAGAGCAAAGCATAAGGAAGGCGTTATGCTTCCATTTTCCCCCATACAATATAGGTCAGTTTAGTATGGGGTCTCCCTCAGGTATGGTGGAGTGGTGGATGGGAAAAAAATATTAAAAAATCACCCCCTTGAAATTTCTTAAATCTCATTACCCCCCCTCCAAAAAAAAAGTTGAAAGATTATTTTCAAAATCTAAAAACAATAAAAAGTGGATCAATATGGAGTCAACATCAATAAAAGAGCAAATAAATGTCTGAATAATATTTTTATTTACAAGTAAACTTTTATCATAACACATATCTACAAATTTTATTCTCTTTTAAAAATACGAAAATAATATTTAAAGTAATATGATGAATAAAAAACAGTATAATTTTTTTTTAGATCTCATCTATAATGATAATATTTGTTATAACTTAACGCTTCGTAACGTAACATATAATGATAGGTGCTTATAAAATGATAATACAGGACAGCAGAAACGAAACTTAGATGTAAAACTATATTTTCAATTTTATCAACCCCCAACAAACAAAATATAGTACATATCGTATAAAAAACAAAACAACCATCAAACATGACCAATTTGAAAATGGAAACGTACCGCAAGATCAATGTAATACGCTGATTAAACTAATGAAATAAATAAATTTTAAACAAAAAAAAAATATAACAAGCTTGAAATGTGACATATATAAATAAATTGAATATATATCACAATTTGTTTATTATCGATACAATGTACAAGATATAAAGAAACTAAATAAATACTCTTGAATAATTTTTGCAATTATTGCACCATTAGCAGTTAAAGAATAACTGTCCTGCATGTATAAAACAATATAATTACATAATTAATGTTTAGATACATATAATTTTTAATTTCCCGCATCCCGAAATATCAATTCATTGTTGTTTTTTTGTATTTTTTTGTATTTTTTCTTTTGGATGACACCTAATAGTATAACTGGTGCTAACTCACTTGACTTCGTATTTCTTTATGTAAATGACATAAGAAATCAACGTAAGATGAAGAATTGTCAAGTCCTTTGTCTTCCACCAAAAAGTGTTTCATAACCAATTCCATTTTATCTCCTTGGCGAACAAGGGTTAGCTATAAAAAAAAAAAATTAACATGTTTAAAAAAAACTGTTTAAATATTTATTATGTGTTGGAAAAAAAATGGCATACCCTCATGGTACGATGTCTCCCAGCGTTAATTGTATTTACGATGCCTCTGATTTTTTCATTAAGAGGGTTATTCAATACTGGAAGTCTATTCTTATCTGTATCTACTTGAGCAGTACTGGGCACGCCAAAAACGGCCATTACCCATTCAGAAGGCACCAAGAGACCCAACCAAAGGAACATGTAGATTCCATTTTCTACAAAAGAGATTGTTGAACATTTTCAAGAAAATAATTATACTATTTAAAAAAAATTATATTTACCCAACAAATAAACACCCTTATCTTCCATCTTGTTTGCTGAGCAGCGAATTGCCATTGGAAATTCATCATCCATTTCATGCAAAGGTAGAAGCCTTGGATAGTAGTACAACAAGGAAGAATAAATGTCCATTGTTAGGACAGCAGCCATAACATACCACCTGTCATCGACAGTCATATCCGATCCTTAAATTTTAAAAAAAACATTAAAGCTTGTCTATTTTGTATGTACTTAATTGTTATTCTTAAAATACCTCCAGATAAAGGATCGCTCTTAAGAAGGGAATTCATATACACTGGCAAGAGTTTCATACATTCAGGAAGAATAAGTTGGCCAGCTGATGTTGGCGAAGCACAATTTTTACGGTAACATGCTAAAATTTGGGCCGATACCGTAACAAGGTTGTCTTTAACCACCCTTGCTGGTGTATCCAGAATTTTGACCACAGCTGTAGAAAAAAAAATCGATAAAACAAACCGGTAAACAAAACACAAATTGTAAAACGTACATTGTTTAAAAAAGAAGTTCATTATCGTGTCGAGTTCGCAGGTCTTGTAAATATCCGACATCTGGGAACAAGTCTTTAACGCCAAATTGATTATTCGTATCCTTCTTTGGCCGGTAAGGGATGTGTACAAGAGAGCAGTTTGTATGTACACTGTTGAATCTTCAGGTAATTTGTCGTCATGTTTGATCTCTACTGCCACAGCCTAAAAAAAATTAAAATAAATAATGGAAGATAATTTACAAAGCCTACATCTAGCAAAATTTGTTATTAATAGTTCTGGTGAGATAGATTTTTTCAACAAAAAAAATTTTCCCTACAGACTTAATTTACTCTTTGAGGCTTTATTTACAATCACGATAAAAGAAGTTGTGTGATAAAATTAAAATGGGACTCCCTGCAAATGTATACATTTTAACTCGACTGCGTAAGACGCAACATGTGCGCCAAGCCAACTGTCCTAGGTGTGGTGTCTGCGTCCTCAAATTTATACTTTTCAACTTTCCCTCTATTTCACCCGTTACACAATTCTGTACGAAATCCCTACACCTGCCTCAGAAAAGGCAAAAAAATTCAACTTGAAGAATTTTTTTATTTATTCTGTAAAGGCTACACACTCGTAGACAAAAACATGCAACTCATGTCTGTAGGCAAAGTACTGCAATTGTCAATAGAAAAATTGGGAACGAATCGCTTGTCAATCGACAAAAATTGGTAGTCTATTTCATACAACGCGTGTTATATGAAAACAAATAAATAAATAACAAGGCTGTGAGTTAAGGGGCTGAAGATGATTATAAAATAATTGAAAAGCTTCCCATGTAAATAAACCTGCTGGAACTAAAGGCTTATATTTATTTATTTATTTTAAAAAACTTAATCAAGTGTAAAAAAAGCATAATGAGTTGACATTCTAAAATAATTGCAAATTTTTGGTTCATAATCTCGTAATTTTGGTTAGAATGTAAAGAACATATTATTGTGAATTTATTTCTTAAAATCGACCCAATAACTCTTTTGTCCTCTGTCTTCTTAGTTTATAGCAGCAATAGAGATATCACAGGAAAACAACTTCTTGATTTCTATCATAAAATTGCTCTAGTCCATGCTCTCCATGTGTTCACTACAAGCGCCGGTTTACACTCAATAAATTGCGCAATTCAATGCCCCATGGGTACTAAGCCTTAGGGAAAACACAGATGGCACTGCAATGCTACTTGAGATGGGTAACCAATTCTATCCTGGATCCTCCTGGTTAAACTCGTTGTGCCATGTTAGCCAAGTCGTGTACTGTGTCATACCTTTACCGAACTAAGTTCTTAGGACTTAGATCGAGGTATACTGGGTATTGGCTCGTCTTTATAGACACGTCTAAGACTGACAGTGTGGTATGTGCCATATATCGCGAGGGTGCATCCACTTCATGGTCACTCCCACCACACTGTAGGGTTATTTACATGGCAGAACTGTATGCAATCTGGCATGTGCTGGGGTGATTCGAGACAATGGTGGTTCTACTTAGTCAGCCTGGTTACTGCTGTAAGGTTCACCCTTGACCTCTCGTAGTGCTTTTGTTGGAGAGATACCATGAACCAACTGCATCTTGGCAAAATGGTGGTTACTATCTGGGTATCTTGACTCATAGGACTGGAGTGCAATGAAAAGGCAGACAAGGTGGCTTAAGCTGGGACATCCCAACCTCCAAACTTAACAACCACGATCCCCTCTGACGCTAAGAATACAATAAAAAACATTCTTAAAAGAGGTGGCAGCGTCAATGGGCCGGATTGACAGAGAAGCCCTCATGTATCAATAGCACTGTCAATGGGTGCCTTCAGAGGATCTGACTTGTAGAAGGTCATCCTCACCCGATTAAGAATAGGCCATGCAAGGTTGACGCACAGTCTCTTACTTTTGGGCCAAAGACTATGTATGTGTCCGGCATGCAAAGAAAGGTTGTTCGATCTGTCCCACCTAATTGAATGGTGCAATTCCTTGGCTCCATAGAGAGAGTGCGTAGGAACACCACCCAATTGGAGAATTGTGCTTGAGCTGGTCCCCTGTTCCAATTCTTGGAGGTAACGGTGTTCTGTATTATTGTATTCTATTAAACACCAGTAATAATAATGGTGTTTGTAACCTAGTTTGCATAGAGAATGAGTGTATTTATTAGAGTGAAAGTGTGATCGACCAATGGCGGAACAAGTACTCCATCGACCCTCAATTAAATTAGTTGTATAATATGTATAAAGGTTGTGTTGAGAGTGAGTGTATTTATTAGGGTGAATGTGTCATCGACCGATGGTGGAATATCAAGTACTCCATCGACCCTCAATTAGATTAGTTGTATAATATGTGTAAAGCCAGAAACACACTTACCCGATGCTACGCCATGCGGCGCTACCCGACGCAAACCCAAACTCCGATTTTCCATAAGGTTGCATTACCCCCGTGCACATCTACCCGATGCTACCCGACGCAAATCCAAACTCCGATTTTCCATAAGGTTGCATTACCCCCATGCACATCTACCTGATGCTATGCCACGCTAACCTACCCGACGTTCTGCGATCCCCACTGCCCAGATTTTCGTCGGGTCGCATCGACTACAGTCGAAGACAAAAGAACCGGACACTTATATTTTTATTCAAACTACATGAATTATTGTCGTTATATTAATTACAACATACTTATTTTAATATAAACCAAATTAACTGTGATTAAAAATTACTTTTTATTTAAAAAATTAATTTTAATGGTTTGGTAGAAAATTAATCAAAACACCAGAATACGATTTTTTGATATAATGAATTTAACTAACAATTTATTGTACTCGCTTCAGCGGTACATATACTAAAAATGGAACAATTTATTACACGGTTTTGCTCATAAAATTTAATTAATAATTTATTCATAGTTTTGCTCGTAAAATTACACCATTTTGTAATGTCGGGTAGCATCAGAACAGGACACTCATATTTTTTGTAGTTTATTTCAAACTAAGTACATGCAATTTTGTCGTTATATTAATTACATGTTATTTTAATGTAAACCAAATTAAACAAGATAAAAAATGCATAAGTTTTTATAAACATTTACTTATACCATACATAATTTATAAACAATTATGATGGTTAAGAGTAACTTTATTTAAAACAATTAAGATTAACAAACAATTTATTAGATGGTTGTGCTCATAAAATTTAAATAACAATTTATTACAAGGTTTTGCTCAAAATAGTGCATTAAGAACAAACGATGCATTGCGACTGTGATCGTGATTATTATCATAAACGCTGTGGACTGTACGCGATGTGTACTTGCGTCGGATAGATGTACACACCCCACCAGAACGTGGGAAGGCATCAGGTAGCATCGGGTAGCGTCGCATGGCGTAGCATCGAGTAAGTGTGTTCCCGGCAGGTTGTGTTGAGAGTGAGTGTATTTATTAGAGTGAATGTGTGATCGACCAATGGCGGAACGAGTACTCCATCGACCCTCAATTAAATTAGTTGTATAATATGTGTAAAGGTTGTGTTGAGAGTGAGTGTATTTATTAGGGTGAATGTGTAAAGTGAGATGGTCAATGGCAGAATATCATTCACCCTCAATTAACTTAGTTGTATGATGCATGTAAAGGTTGATGGAGAAGAGAAATATCGAGAACTCTATCCCCCTAATTGAATAAATGGTATAAAGGTGGCCATTCACGATCGCTCCAAGCAGTCCAAACGTAGCGACGCCGTTCCAAAAACCACTGACTCAATGGCCAAACTGAACTGGCATGCCCGTCTGTGCCGAATATTCGATCGGTCCAAACTCCATAGCGCCACTCCAAATATCTACGGTGCAACGACGGCATGGCGCGTTCGTGAATGGGAAAACCTGGCATGGAGGGTGGGGATTTTGGCGTGGTGGCCTGGTCGTGAATGGGAAAACCCTCGTTTTTTTGGCGCAGTCTCCGTCTTTCTGTCACTGAGCAAACATCTCCATCGTACATTCTCAAAAAGTCAAAAATGTTTATTCTTTATTGGTAATGACATCCAATTGAGATTTTATTGTTGAGGTGATTCATATATTCACTCCTACTTAAGGTGGCCATTCATGATCACTCCAAATGGAGCTGTACGGCTTGGCGCGGTTCCATTTGGAGTGATCGTGAATGGCCACCTTAAGTAGGAGTGAATGTATTTAAGAATGAATGTGAGTACGAATGGGTCTGGTTGCATGCTTTGGGTGCTTGAATTGACCTAGCTGTTGACAGCACCTCCTCCCAGAGCCTGGGGAGGTCTGCCTCCAGACAGCCAATACCTAGAGTGGATAGTTCTCAAGTCTGCCGACAGTTTACTGTAAATCACAAAAGCTAGAATTCCTGGGGGGAGAAGCAAAAAAGACTCAACTTGGCACATGTTTTTACATATGTCTGTACATGTGCAGACTTTAGTGTGTATAAATCCAAATCCAAATCATCATATAGGTCATATTTTTCAATTCTACCTTTGAACAACCAACATAATTTAATTTCTGGAAAAAAATACAAAAATGGACAGTACCTTATCGGGGTCGATACATGCCAATTCGATATCAGTTGTATTCGACATGTAAAAATGGCCATAGAAATCCGTTGGACGGACACCCGTTGACGTCCTGACCCTCATGATTGCATCGAATGCACATAATCGCCTGATATCCTTTTCTACATCTGCCACCAGTCTTTCGCCATCTAGATCAGCCTACAAAAAAAATATATAAAAAAATTTAAAATTGAGAAACAATCTAACTATTTAGTATTCAAAGTACATACCTGAAAGTAGGCATACTTATAAACCTCTCCTCCTGTCAACCTACAAACTTGACCGATTGTTGCAAGGTCGATGTACGAGTTGTAGAGAGCAAATAAGTCAACACTGCAGCCAGCTGCCACACACTCCTGCCCTAAATTGTTGTAAAACGTATTCTGTGGTGCTAAAAAAAATCAAACAACAATAAATAAATGCACAATTGGAATTAATTTTAAATTTTTTAAATTTCCTTTAATCAAAAAATTAATAATATGAACTATTGTTTCTACATTTGCTTTGTAAAAAAAATAGATAATAGAGATAAATTGCAGTAATACTCACTTAATACTGTCTTTTCTTTGTCAGTGCCGAGTAATTTTCTGTCATCCCTATTTTTTAATTTTCCAGGAGCTTCACAAGTAGGCAGCGAAGAGTGGAAAACAAGAAGTTTTCCAGCACAATTAGAAGCCTATTATTTTATATTATTAATAAAAGAATTTATTTATTAAGGAAATATTAAAAGTTACTAATTACTTTAAGGACTTCAAGTCCAGCTTGAATAGCAGGGCCTAAAATTGTTTCGGTTTCTTTTGTGTCGGCAAACATAGCTGGAATCTGCTGCATCAGTGTGTCGATCAAGCTTTCCGATTCCTGTGCATCTGCTAAAGAGCCGTCCAACAAAGGCATGAACATTTCTTGAGTGTCTCCCACGATCAACATCTGTGGCTGGCCGAGTGTTGGCTATAGAGGGGGGAAAATATATTAAAAATCAACTGATTAAGTGCATAAAATTTTTAAATAACATGTATTAAACAATTATAATCCTTACTTTAATATTGTAAAAATGAACAGAACTGTTGTATGTGATGAATCCAACTTTCAACGATGATTTTTCTTGGCCGCGCTCTTTTGGTAGGCATTGCAAGAACGATTTCATCTGGCTGCATATAAGCGAGACCAGGCCGGATTTCACATTATTGTAAGATACGTCAATTAAAAAAATTAGAGCAGGGGGCTTGGGTGGTACATTTTCCTGTGTAACAAAGAATAAATCATTGTTTTCATATTTATACAATAAAATACTATTTAAAGTAAAATGAGTTCTTACACGACAATATTCTTTGGTGGCGATAATATCATAAGTCCCAAGAATTAGTTCAGCCCTTTCAAATCTATCCACCCTTAATCCAGTATGGTCCAAATGTTGGAAATATTCCTCAGGCACTACAAAGACATATTATAGTGGTGACGGTCTCAAAAGAAGTATGATGAAAATTACCTTCAGTCGAAGCAGTACAAAGTAGGCAGTGAAAACGCCTCCCACCATCAAAGAACTGCATGTTTGGACACATATATGCCTTACACCTGATGCACCTGACAGGGCCAATTTCACCGAAATCTACCAGAGGAGGCAACTGTTCTTCCTCCATCACGTCAGCCATCGGGCTGATGACAAGACCAAAAGGCACAGCAGTCTGCTTGATAAGATCAGCGCTGATTGGAATGTTGTACATAGTGGAGCGGATGAATCTCGGGCTTGCGTTGCCTTGGTCATTAACGATAAAATCTGTTGTCACGAGTGGAGGAACTTGACCCTTCTGATTGGTATAAAATATCCCTGATTTGGTCCGTTGGTCTTCTTCCATCACTTGCATCTGAAATACAAATAGATTATAATCTAAAAGTTTATATAATCTAATAAAAATGCGTAAACACTTACAGGACTTGGCATTAAATCTGGGTCTAGCCTTTTTTGAGGTTGTTGTTGGTCGGGATAACTCGGCTGGGCTGCTGGATAGGGATGTTGTCCTTGCTGGTGATAGCCTGGTTGTGGTGGTGGGTAAGAACCGGGTGATGAGGCTCCGTGGTATGCCGCTTGCTGGTTAGGCTTGAATGAAAAAAAAAAAAAATTATGCATATAACATCCTTGTCATGATCGCTATGCTTGAAACTATGCATGCACAATTTGCAATTGTAGTGACCACGTATCCAATATTGTGGAGGCAGTAAAAGGCAATGATTTGAAGTATGAATATCGTACAGAATTAATATCAAATAGTGAACAAGTGACAAATCTATTCATTTTCAGGTATGTTTTGTACGAAACCAATGTAGGAATAATTTTGTATATTATAAAACTAATTCTGTAAATAAATTAACATTTTCAAGAATACATTGATTTATATAAAAAAAAGTCATAAAAAAATGTCACAGTGCAAAGCCTACCATCATGGGAGGATGCCCAGGCTGCTGGTGCATAGATGGTGGCATGTTCGGTTTTGCTGTACTGTTTGGATCAGGCATTCCATTTCCATGCATTTGGCCAGGGCCTCCGTTTATCATTGGATAACCATGGCTTGGATAATTCTGCATTGGGGACTTCATACCCATTGGATTCTGAAAATAAAATATGTTCAGTAATTTTAATCCTAGACAAGAAAATTATGTTGTTCATTGATTATCAGTTATTTTATTTTAAAAGAACATTTTTTTAATACGGAAAAAGGTGATCACAGACCATTGTTTTACGATCAGTATTGTTCATATAAACAATACAACAAATTATAATTTGAATACAAGCTTAAAAAACTAGTCAACTTCAGTACATAAATCAGTCATTTCTAATTATAAACGTAGGTTCTTATGTGCTTAATTTTTTTTGTCCGGGCATGCAAGTTGCTTAAGGATAATCACTTGTGGTGAAAATTTCATAATGTAAAAGTCTGCTATAACACCAGATTTTCAACATTATCTTTTTCCGTGAATCAGTACTTTTAGAAAAGTAAAATTGGGTCAGTAACAAGAATGAAATTTAAAAAAACATGTAATTAATATCAAAAATGTAAACAAAATTATCTACGATTCCTTATTTAAAACATTATATTACGCAATGTGATGTGGGGTTAATAAAGATTTATTTTTATGTGTGGTGATTAGTGACCATTAATCGATAATTATTCTTTATTAATTTATTATTATCTTGTTAAACCAAGATACTGAATATAAAAAATAGTTCTAGGGAAGTAAACTATAAAGAAACTTCACTTACCATTTGCTGGGTTGGCTGCATTGGTTGGGGTCCGTTTAGATTCATGTTGGCCATGTTTTTAACCAGATGGTTTTGCGTTGGCATTGGCATGCCTAGTTGTGGTGGACCAGTGTTCATTGGAGGAGCCATGTTATTTTGATGTCCTAAGTTCATTTGTGGGCCCATGTTATTTTGAGGTGCCACATTTTTTTGAGGTCCTAAGTTCATTGGTGGGCCCATGTTATTATGTAGGGGCCCAGGAGGCATCATGCTAGCGTGGGTTGAAGTAGGTGGCATCATACCATAATTTGATGTAGGTGCCATCATATTGCCAGTGGCCAAATTCGGTGGCATCATACCACGATTTGAAGAAGGAGGCATCATGTTGCCGTGGTTTGAAGTTGGAGACATAACATTGGCAGGAGTCGTAGTTGGAGGCATATTGGCATGGTTTGAAGTCGGAGACATCATATTAGCAGGAGTCGAAGTTGGTGGCATGTTGGCATGATTTGAAGCTGGGGGCATCATATTAGCAGGAGTTGAAGTTGGAGGCATGTTGGCATGATTTAAAGTTGGGGGCATCATATTAGCAGGAGTCGAAGTTGGAGGCATATTGGCATGATTTGAAGTTGGGGGCATCATATTAGCATGAGTTGAAGTTGGAGGCATATTGGCAAGATTTGAAGTAGGGGGTACCATGTTGGGTTGGTTTGAAGTTGGAGGCATCATGTTTGGTTGGTTTGACGTTGGGGGCATCATATTTGGCTGGTTTGACATTGGGGGCATCATGTTATCATGGTTGGATGTGGGAGGCATCATGTTAGCTAAGGTCGTGGTTGGTGGCATAATTTTATTTTGCAATGGAGCCATGCTTTGAGTAGTAGGGTTTTGTGTCGGTGGCAATTTGTTTTGAGACATTTGTGGCAAAGGCATCTGGTTTATATTTTGCGATTGAAGGTTCGGTTGTGGGGCCTTATTCTGCATCATCATCGACGGCATCTGTCCTTGATTCATATTAGGAGGTAGGTTTGAATTCTGATTGAAAGATGGCGGCACATTTACATTCTGCTGGCCGAAAGATGCCATCTCAGCTCTGGGCTCTCTCATCGGTGATTCTTGTGATTGCACTCCTAAAAATAATAACATTTGAATTACATATTTTTTTACACGCAATAAATTAAATATAAAACCAGATTAACCATTCTGAGGAGGCTGATTTTGTTGTTGAGGCACTTGACTACTTGGAGGCATCTGGTTTCCTAGAGGAGGAGGGTATGCACCATATCCTTGTGGCGCCATATAATGGGGCTGCTGTGGCTGAGCCATATACTGTGGATTCATGGCTTGCAATTGACTAAATCGATCATCAAAATAAACCTGAAAGAAAATTTCTTCTTAATAAAATACTATTTAAAATGCTATTTCAGCGAATGTCCCAAGTCATAACTCCCAAATTTTACCTTCTGCTTGTATAAGAAGGATTGAAAAAAGGTTGTTCGTGTTAAATTAATATTATATACAAGAAACAGAAAGACTTTCATTAAGCATACCCTTAACAAAAATAATGAACTTATAAGTCGACAAACTAATAATATATGATAAATATAAGCTTAGTTGCCAAATTTTTAAGTACTTTTGTGTATTTAAAAACAACCAACTCTATTGCAATTGCAGTTATTTTTAAATTAAATGTTTACAAATTGAATGATTAAGATTTGAAAAGTTGTGACCTAATCAACAAAAGTGAAAGTGTATTACACAACAATCTGAGCTCATCTTCAGTGTCACGGTTCTGTTAGGTTGAGCTGACCTAAGATGATAAACATTTCTGAAAAGACTTAAAAGGAAAAAAATATTCATAAAGAGATTCTATTTATTTAATATTTTGTGCGTTTTTATAAAATAACCGGCAAAAATAAAATTACAAAGAACTTAATCCATATTTGTTTAGTGATCATAATTGACCATATGAATTATTCCAACTATTCTTTTTATCTAAGGTTTTTCGTTGAGATGAAAAAATCAGTGTCATGAGCGGGATTCGAACCCAAGACCTTCGGCTCAATTTGCTGCTCTAACCATTTGAGCTATTGTGACTTCAATACTCTCGGACACCAACTCATCTCAACCTACAACCTTTTGAATTTTCCCTCTTTTTGTCATATTTTCAAATTTTGTGGAGTTGGTGTCCGAGGGTATCAAAGTCACAATAGCTCAAGAAGTTAGAGCAGCGGTGTATTGAGCTGAAGGTCATGGGTTCTAATCCCGCTCTAGACACTAATTTTTAATCTCAACCAAAATCCTTACATAGAAAGAATAATTAATTGGAATAATTAATACAATCAATTATGACCAGTAAACAAATATGGATTAATTTAATTTAAAAATAAGTAATTACATCACTAATTAATAGCTCCCCAGGGCCACTTCGTAAGTCGCTGAGAATCAAATCCTGGCAAATCGAATATGCCGAAAAGAGAGAAAATTCGAACAGTTGTAGGTTGAGATGAGGAGTTGGTGTCAAAGTTAGAATAGCTCAAGTGGCTAGAGCAGCATTACAAACCTATGTATCACAGGGGCGATGAGAACAACCCTTACAAACGCATTAGAAACCTTGCTAAACCTACCCCCACTAGAAATATTCATTCAAGGAGAGGCTTGGAAAAGCTCATTTAGGCTCCAGAAACAATTAAATTGGAAAGGAACTAAACAATTCGGGAATACAACTATAATCAACAAAATCAGACACCCATTATTAAACATGGGGTCTGACTACATAATCCCGGAAACAATCTTCACAACTTCCTATAAAGTCTCAACAGACTATAAAAGAGAGGAAGAACACAGGAGAGCATCACATTCAATGATATGGTACACAGATGGCTCCAAAACAAACGAAGGAACCGGATCAGGCATTTTCTGTACAAGCTCAAAATATGAGCAATCAAACTCATTAGGGAAGGATACTTCGGTTTTTCAAGCGGAAATACATGCCATCAATGCTTGTGCCCTGGAAAATCTTAGAAAAGGTTACACTTACAAAAACATCCTCATAAGATCAGACAGCCAAGCAGCTATTAAAGCATTAGCATATAAAAGAATTGCATCAAAACTAGGCCCCAAACCTATCCTTGGGATAACAAAAACGAACACAGAATTCTCCATCGTAGAATGGATCCAAGCAAAACAAAAAAGAGAAGTGGATAAACTCTAGCGGTGCTAGACATAGTAAACTTATGATGAAACAACCCTCACCAAGATTGGCAAAAACACTGCTGCAATTGGAGAGGGCAAAAGTCAGAGGAGTGGTGAGACTACTAACCGGTCACTGGTATCTGAGAAAACATCTATACAACATGGGTATGCGATGATCCCATCTGCAGATTATGTAATGAGGAGGAGGAAACAGCCACTCATATCATCTTCGAATGCGAAGCAACAACTCAATGGAGGTTTAACCTAACATAAGGAAAAGACTTAGGGAATCAAATTGCAGCAACAACAGTCAATGACCTGATACTTCTAAGAAGAAAGATTGAGTCTATTGACTGAACTAAGGAACTAGGAAGGTACAATAAGCCAAAAGGCTGCAGTGTCTGGGGAATACAAACCCCGCTTCCTAGTATCCTTTCCACCATACCATACCATACTGAGGGTACTGAAAATGGAGCCAAAGGTCGTGGGTACAAATCCCACTCATGGCACTAATTTTTCATCTCAACCAAAAATCTTAGATAAAAAGAATTAATTATAAAGAACACAGGTAATATCCACAGATCAGGCGTACTATTATTATTATTATTATTATTATTAAAGAAATATGTGATGATTTTATTATCAAGTTTCTTCCGTCTGATTTACAAGATTCTAACTTGAGGGTCTGACGCTCAGAAAGAATTAACGACTTTCACAGACAAATTTCATCTGGTTAGTCACAGCTGAATTGGGCTCGTTAATTGCTAAAACATCTACTACAAAGCAAACACATAAACGATGTGGCAGTGACTTTTAACCAATATGTCAATGAACTTGCATTTATTTGTTCTCGTTCGTTTTTATGTTTTTCTTTTTGTCTTAACCATAACAAATGACCACAAGGTGAATGTTTAAATCTATTTCTTTTGATTTGATAAAAAATATTTAACCAAATCTTTATTAAACAAGCCATTATTGTATTGCCATTATAATAGTCAAAACTTTACAAACCATTAACATTTATTAATTTAGAATGACATTAAAATGATTAATGAATGATTCCTTGTTTATAAACATTGTTTTAGGCCATTCAACAAAAACCCAAGTTTATACAGAAATATTTACAAAACAATAGTAAAAAAGAAAAACTTTTGCTACACTAGCCAATTCAAATTGCTAAATCTTAAAGTACCACTAGTTGAATATATTAAGTATATTATTTTTGCCCTTTTAATCAGTTGAGCTGAGTGATGGCTATTTTTAAGTTTATTGGCTTGCAAACAACACAATTACATTTCCCCACTTCTCCGTTCTTTCATCGTCCCGATGTAACATCAAACTCAAATAGAAATTGTTCTAAGGAAGAAATTGAGGTCAGGCTGTTAGAATTTCATCAATTTTAACTGTTATTAACAACTGAAGATGGCCGTGTTGGAAACAAAACTTTCTTATGTAAAATCACGGCCAGTTCCAATACTAGATGTCAATCAATTTTCAATTATCTCCGTCTGTCTATGTTCACATAACAATTCAAGAGTGTGACTATTTCAAATTGTTTAAACCATAAACTAAAACTAAAGAAGCTTGATTAAAAGCAAACTTTTGTATTGGAAATTAAAAAGAAATTATTTTTATTTCCTTATTTGTAAAAATCATGCCTTCAACTTTCATTATACCTAACATTAGCTTAACATTAATAACTTTGATAACTGATATTCATTTCTCCGAACTTAATACAATTATTTAACTTTTGAGATTGGTGGCCTGTGGTCTGTGGTGACAGGTACCTGTAATTTGTTTGTATAATTTTGGTCTATCCTCGCTGGGCAGGTCTGTCAAGTATATTTCAACATTCTGCCATTTTCAGAGCTAGGCTATAAGAAGGCACAATAACCATCTACTGATAATGGCCAAGAAGCCAAAATAAGCCTGACAGTCCAACGCAGCAAGGAAAGGCAGGTCAAAACGATCAGTAACGACCGAATTACAATTATTTAAATTGTGACGGACCTGGTTGTTTCTGTTCATTTTGGTCTGCCATTCCTGTCAGAAGCTGAAACGCATATGATACATCGACAAAAAAATATCAGGCAGCATCAAACTACATAATTACATAACTTGATATGACAATTCTTGACATTTTCAACCTATTGTTTTCAGTTAATTAATTAAAAATTTTCAAGCTTTATCTCTTACACAACTAAACTAAATATAAATGTTCCAATTTATAATCTCAATGATCAGAATAATAATTACTTAACTAAGGAGAGAATTCTCGACAATACCGAAAACAGTAAGGAGATTATATATGAAAATAAACTTTTTTCCTTAGACCCAAATGGCATCAGGGAAAAGGAATTTGTATATTACGAGTATTAGTAGAGGAAAAATTAGGATTTCTAAGGTAATTTATAATGATCCACTCTTATATCAAATCCTCTCCAAATAATAAAGAATAAAAGAAAGAGGCAAGGTGAAAGGAGCTTCTCTATTGGCTGAATTCAGTAGACCCAGAACTCAAAGCATTCAGTGCTTGTTGAATACCGATTAATATTTCTGAATTATTGATAGAATAGACTAATTTTGTTTTTCCTTTTAGGTAAGTTCGCTAATTTTAATGACTTCAATGCTAAGTATTTATTGATTATTATTAATTGTAGTGAAATAAAAGTGCTAGAAAATATTGTTTGAAAATATATAACAATAATACTGATTACTCCAAAGATAAATTAATAATAATTTAGATGACAAATCAAACTGATCAAAGATGAAAATTGAGTGATTGAATTTCAATTTAGTAAATGTTTACTGTAGTGATTTTTTGGAGGACTGTGCTGGCCAAGTGGTTAAGGTGTCTATACTAGTAATTCTAGGTTCAAATCCCATCATAGTCTTTGGAATTTAAATACTAAAAATTTGGGGAAAAAAGTATTGTAAAGTGGTTTGGATCGCTTGTCAACGTCCACAAGGTAATTTAAGACTTTAAGCCCTCCTTATGACAAGAATTACTTATTTTACTTTACTTGCAGTGATTTGCAAGTCTTATCTGAATGCCAATTTTGCTGTGATTCTTGACAAACAAGAAGAAAAAAGAAATAATCACCATGAAATTAACCAATTAATTAACTGACCAAAGATTTATTGTTTAATTGAATTGACAATTCAGCACTGCAAAAAATGTT